CCCGTGCGCCTGCCCGGCTCGGCCCCGCCCTTCGTCGCGGCCCCGCCCCGGCCCGTCGCCGCCCGTGCGCCCGCCCGGCTCGGCCCCGCCCTTCGTCGCGGCCCCGCCCCGGCCCGTCGCCGCCCGTGCGCCTGCCTGGCTCGGCCCCGCCCTACCTTCGCGGCCCCGCCCTACGTCGCGGCCCCGCCCTATGTCGCGGCCCCGCCCCTCGTCGCGGCCCCGTCCCCCCCCCCCCCCCCCCCCCCTTTCTCCCCTCCCCCCCATTTCCCGTCGCCCGTCGCGGCTCCTTCGGGGGCCGCAAGCGGCCCCCTCAGGTCGCCACGACAGACGACGGGAGGGGCGAGCTGTGGGGTGGCGGGTATGGGGGTGCTCGGTGTGCCTTCCTCCCTTTCTCCTCCTCCTCCTTCGTCTCCCACTGCTGCAGCTGTCGCTGAGGGGGGTGGTTGTGTGGGAGACTGGGTTTAGGGTTTAAGGGGGGTGCGTGGGAGTGGAGCTAGCGGTGTAGCAGTGGGTGTGTATGAGGGGGGTGGGACTGTGTGTGGGAGGTTGAGCGGAGGTTGCCAGTTTGTCGTCCGCAGCACCTGTAGTCCGGGGCGCTGTCCCGGTAGCCCAGTGAGCTTGTCGCTGAGCCGGTCGCCTGTGGGTCCGTTGCCCGTCTGCCGCCACTTGAGCCGCGGGGCCTGTTACTCCCGTAGTCCGGGGCGCTGTCCCGGTAGCCACTGTGCTCGCCACTCCTGTTGCCCGTGTGTCTGCAGCTTCAGCCGCCGCCTTCTATCTCCTCTCCTCTCACTCTCCCTCCTCCTCCTCACTTGCCCGTTGTGACCACTGCTAGCTTTGCTCATAATTGTTAACTTTGAACTATTTCTTCTTGACCTTGTGCTCAGAATGCGTGGTGACATTGTGATCCACCCTGAGCTTGTACTGTTTTGCCTGCTCTGCTGATTACACCCCACTTTGGCTATGGGGGTGTGTCAGAATATTATTCTTATGTTCTAGCCTGTAGTGGGGTGCTCTATAGCGAGTACAACCCTTCTAGGGTTTGCTATTTGTATCCCCATTTCTGCTAGTTCATCCCTCTTTCTTCCTTCTAATTTTGTCACTACTAGCGCCCATCGAACACGGCGAGGGCAAGAGACGTCGACCGCAACAGTGTGACTCTTCCAAAGGCAATGGCTGCAATGATGGCGAGAGGATGCAAAGGAATATCTGAAGTTCTTGTTCTTTATGGCGTCTTCTTGCTCGTTCTCGTCCTCCCAACAGGTTAGTTCTGGTGTAACATTCTCACCGTTTCTTATTTGGTATATTATATATAATCGTTGTCCATCCGAAAATTGACGGGTTTGAAAACTAACTTTTCAGGCCCGAAAACTAACTGGAGCAGAAGTTACTGGCCAACTTGGTTTTTGACGCGACTCACTGAAGGTCGCAAGCTGCGATTTCCCAAATTCTGGGAACCAATCGAGGTAAAATCGAATTAGGCTCGGCAACGCATTTGATTCGTTTACGCCAGGGGCTCGCGCGTCGAGATTGAGCGTCGAAATTTCCCGCTCATCTCATCAGCTAATGGCATTGTTCCGCGTCTTGTTTTTGGATTGGTTTCTAATTCTGACAACCGCGCAATCTCACTCTATATTGTACATAAGGCTTCGGATGGTTTTGTTTTCAGTTTGTTAAACATGCAATGCACTTTCAGGAATTTGTGATTATACTGTTTGATTAATTTATATAACACTGTATATGCTTCGTTAAAGTTACAATTTGAAAACGGCGTTATATAATATTCACAATCCATTATTGTAGCACCCAATATTGCATATTATTCGTAGTACACTTTTGATAGCACTATAATAGAGAAGCTTTTTATTATGGATATACTAATTTGTTTTTTATTTAATATGAACACAACAAAATGCTAACAGTACATTACTGCATAAATAATGTTTTCAGGATCAGCTAAACCTGACACTACCAACGAGCACGTGACACATCACTCAGGCCATCCGCGCTAATAAACACAACAATGCTAGAGGAAAAGGCCCATGCATTTGCGGCCTCGTTCCACCACGGTCCGTCGGCGTCCGTGCGTGACACAATGGCAGCCCTTGCCCAGTTGCGCAAATTGGAGTAATACAACTCCATTTGGTTGCGGTTCTTTTTGGAGCCTCGGGATTTATCCTGGTTGTTGTTGAGCACTCGGTGTTCAACCTGCACTTGAAAGAAAACAAGTGCCAGCAAGGGGGAGAGGGACGACGGGAAAGGGATAGATAAGGTGGGAGGGGAGTGGGGGGAGGAGAGGAATGTGGGGATGGGCTGATGGGTTGATGGGCTCCCTCTACCGTGCTCCGTGAAAAAGCCTCTGGTTGCGGCACGAAGGCGTGACACCGAGAACTCAGGGAGATGGGCTGGTAGGTGGGAGAACGTGGGGAAGCGAGGGGAGGGGAGTATGGGGAAGGGGGAGTATGGCCAGGGCGGAAGTGATGCATGTTTGCAAGTCTCCCCCCTGGTTGCAGCACAGCACAGAGGTTGTGCGTGTTTTCAGCAGTCCCGAAGCTCCGTAGAGGGTCCCTGCTAGGTCAACACACCCAGCACCACAAGGGCTGCAGAAGCAACAGTAGAAGAAACAGCAGCAGTAGCAGCAGCAGTAACAGCAAGGAAAAGCAGCCAGGCTGCCTGAAAGTCCCAGGCAGGTTCCTTCCCAGAATGCCCACACGACCTGCAGAGGACATCAAGGGGCGAGGGAGGGGGGGAAGGAACGAGGCGGAGGACTGGATGAGTGGGGAGAGGGCGCGGGGGCTGCAAACCAGTGAGCATCAGCAGCACAAGCAACGAAATCGGCAGCAACAGCAGGCCAGCAGTAGCAAGCAGAGACAGCTGAGCAGCAGCAGCAACAGCAGCAGCAGTGATAAGCAGCAGCAGTAGCAAGCAAGCAGTGACGGCAGCAGCAGTAGCAAGCAAGCAGTGACGGCCGCCTTGACTGCACGTCTTGCATTCTCCTCCTCCATCCGCTTCCGGAACCTGTCAATAAGATCTGTGGAAAACCCTCTGGTTGCGGTGCGAAGGCGTGACAATGAGAGCTCGGGGAGATGGGCTGATTAGTGGGGGAGGAAGGGGAGGGGTAGATGGAGAGGAAGGTAAATATTCAGAACGCCTCGTCCGACTAGTTGCTGCCCAAAGTGTGACACCGAGAGCTTGTCAGATGGGCTGATAGGGTTGAAGGGCATAGGCAAAGTGAGGTGGGGGGAACACGGAATTGGAGGAAGTGGGGAGAGGGGAGAGGGGGAAGAGAAGTAGTGGGGGTGGTGGGGGTGAGGGCAGAGGGCATATGACATGGGAGAGTCACAAATGCTTCACTTTCCTATCAGCACTACCCTTTTCTCATGAAGCCTGATCACAACCTACCACCTCCTCACTGTCCACTTACCCCATGTAGCCAAAAAGCCAAAAGCTTCAGCGGGAGGACTATTTGGCTTGTTGTAGGCCGAGTGAAGGACGCCGTGACTGCATCCACGAAGACTTCACTACTAAACGGCAATTTCCCATTCTCCTCCTTATGCCATGAGGTCATGGAGAACGTTGCCGTGCCTGCCATAGGTGTGCCAACCAGAAAAAAGGATGCGGGGTGCATAGGGCGGGGATGAAACGTGTGTACCGGCTGGTCGAACACGTGAAGTTGGCATGAGGTCATGTGTGCAGGACGAATACATGGGGGAAAGTTTTCTGAAGATTGGCATAGGGCATTGGTTGGAGAATAGATGGCGATGCCTTCAGAAGTGCAAACGATGTACAGTGTTGCAAGCCATAAGACAAGATTGGGCAGGTAGGGGCAGGGGGGAGGGGCAGGGGGGAGAGGGGATGGGGAGATACGCCACCATCATGTGTAAGATCGGTAGAAAACTTCACATGGTGCCAAGGGAAGAATAAGTGTACAGGGAGTACAGAAACACACATGGAAGGCATGAGCTACAAACACAACCCAAAGAAATTCCATACGTACTTGCACTGAATTGTGCAAGGAAAGCCTCACGAGTAAGGCTTCCCTTCTCCTCCCGTCCTGGTGTAGGCCGGTTGACCAGAAGATCGAAGCTTTCGTACACGCTCCGCCGGCCCTTGGTAAGCACCTGGTTTCGCCACTTTGCGACACGGGCGCGTAGGGCCTTTCGAAAGTTCTTGTCAAGTTCGAACACCAAGGCCAGGTGTGTCCGCTGCTGATCAGTTGTCCACTCGAGGGCCGTAAACACTGCATCCAGCAACTTCTCATTTGAAGGCCACATGTTGAAGTCAGCGTGGTTTGTTTGGAAGAACAAGATGTCGCACGCCTTCTTCATGTAGTCCTGGCAAGGGGAAACGGGAAGGAGTAATGGCAAGGGTGATCGATGGAAAGTTATAGCTTAAGGTTGAAAAACAGTTAGCATGGCAGTAAGTGACAAGACATGCAGCCATAATCAAACCACTCCAACAATGTAGCAACACAAAGAACGTGGCAGGACAATTTGAACGATAAAGGGGAGAACTGCATGAAACTTACTGTGATGGAAGCGTCATCATCAGGAATGGCGTTGAATGCCCGTATTACACTGGCAGCCCAGGACCTCTGGTTCGGAGTGAGTGTCTCGAAATCCACAACTCCGCCATGACGGTACTCTCGCGCAACCTCTCTCTGAAACGCACGCTGCGACCTCGGCCACGATCTCCGTCGTTGAGGCATAACAGCAGGGGCTGCAACGCTGTTATCCCTCACATGTGAGAGCCCATGACGTTGCTCTGCCCCACCGCCATTGTTAGTATTGCGGCGCTGCAGCTGCGCTTTCAACTCCAAAATCTCCCTTGCCAACTCACGGTTGCGCGCACATTCTGCGTCGTAGAGAGCTCGTGGCACCGTGTCTGTGGCTGGATGGCTCACACGAGCATCACGAGCTCTCTGGGCAGATTGCAAGGGAGAGGCATGCGCTTGTTGTGGTGCAGCAATTGGGGTAGAAGATGGCACATGAGCAGCGGCGGGTATGTGGGTGGGTCCAACGGATGGCATAGGGGCTGGATGGTGCGATGATGAGGGCAACGGGGAAGCGGAGAAATGTTGGAAAGCTGTGGGCAACGAGGATGAGGGTGGCTGGCCACTTGATGGCTGCTGGGAAGAGCTGGGTGGGGCAGAGGAATTGGGTGGCTGTAGGTTAGGCTCTAAGCCGGCATCCGCTTCGGTGTTGCTGTTGCGCGCAAGAGGTGCTGGAGTGTCGATAAAATCACCACTGTCCCAGTCACTCTCTTCTGATTCCGAATCACAGAAAGAATCCCCTTCGGATAACTCATCATCATCAAATGAAACAGGTCCTTCTTGGCAATTTACACCCACAGTGTGATTGTCGTTGACTGCCTCCACATGCATCCCAGGGATGCGAAGCAGGCCTGTAGCAGCACTGGACGAGCCTTGCATAAAGCTTGGCAAAGGCTGGAAAGGTAAGGGCTGGGATGGCAAGGCCTGAGAATGCACGGGCTGAGAAGGCAAGGCCTGAGAATGCACGGGCTGAGAAGGCAAGGCCTGAGAATGCACGGGCTGAGAAGGCAAGGCCTGAGAATGCACGGGCTGAGAAGGCAAGGCCTGAGAATGCACGGGCTGAGAAGGCAAGGCCTGAGAATGCACGGGCTGAGAAGGCAAGGCCTGAGAATGCACGGGCTGAGAAGGCAAGGCCTGAGAATGCACGGGCTGAGAAGGCAAGGCCTGAGAATGCACGGGCTGAGAAGGCAAGGCCTGAGAATGCACGGGCTGAGAAGGCAAGGCCTGAGAATGCACGGGCTGAGAAGGCAAGGCCTGAGAATGCACGGGCTGAGAAGGCAAGGCCTGAGAATGCACGGGCTGAGAATGCAAGGCCTGAGAATGCACGGGCTGAGAAGGCAAGGCCTGAGAATGCACGGGCTGAGAAGGCAAGGCCTGAGAATGCACGGGCTGGGATGGCAAGGCCTGAGAATGCACGGGCTGAGAAGGCAAGGCCTGAGAATGCACGGGCTGAGAAGGCAAGGCCTGAGAATGCACGGGCTGAGAAGGCAAGGCCTGAGAATGCACGGGCTGAGAAGGCAAGGCCTGAGAATGCACGGGCTGAGAATGCAAGGCCTGAGAATGCACGGGCTGAGAATGCAAGGCCTGAGAATGCACGGGCTGAGAAGGCAAGGCCTGAGAATGCACGGGCTGAGAAGGCAAGGCCTGAGAATGCACGGGCAGAGAAGGCAAGGCCTGAGAATGCACGGGCTGAGAAGGCAAGGCCTGAGAATGCACGGGCTGAGAAGGCAAGGCCTGAGAATGCACGGGCTGAGAAGGCAAGGCCTGAGAATGCACGGGCTGAGAAGGCAAGGCCTGAGAATGCACGGGCTGAGAATGCAAGGCCTGAGAATGCACGGGCTGAGAATGCAAGGCCTGAGAATGCACGGGCTGAGAAGGCAAGGCCTGAGAATGCACGGGCTGAGAAGGCAAGGCCTGAGAATGCACGGGCTGAGAATGCAAGGCCTGAGAATGCACGGGCTGAGAATGCAAGGCCTGAGAATGCACGGGCTGAGAAGGCAAGGCCTGAGAATGCACGGGCTGAGAGGGCAAGGCCTGAGAATGCACGGGCTGAGAAGGCAAGGCCTGAGAATGCACGGGCTGAGAAGGCAAGGCCTGAGAATGCACGGGCTGAGAAGGCAAGGCCTGAGAATGCACGGGCTGAGAAGGCAAGGCCTGAGAATGCACGGGCTGAGAAGGCAAGGCCTGAGAATGCACGGGCTGAGAAGGCAAGGCCTGAGAATGCACGGGCTGAGAAGGCAAGGCCTGAGAATGCACGGGCTGAGAAGGCAAGGCCTGAGAATGCACGGGCTGAGAAGGCAAGGCCTGAGAATGCACGGGCTGAGAAGGCAAGGCCTGAGAATGCACGGGCTGAGAAGGCAAGGCCTGAGAATGCACGGGCTGAGAAGGCAAGGCCTGAGAATGCACGGGCTGAGAAGGCAAGGCCTGAGAATGCACGGGCTGAGAAGGCAAGGCCTGAGAATGCACGGGCTGAGAAGGCAAGGCCTGAGAATGCACGGGCTGAGAATGCAAGGCCTGAGAATGCACGGGCTGAGAATGCAAGGCCTGAGAATGCACGGGCTGAGAAGGCAAGGCCTGAGAATGCACGGGCTGAGAAGGCAAGGCCTGAGAATGCACGGGCTGGGATGGCAAGGCCTGAGAATGCACGGGCTGAGAAGGCAAGGCCTGAGAATGCACGGGCTGAGAAGGCAAGGCCTGAGAATGCACGGGCTGAGAAGGCAAGGCCTGAGAATGCACGGGCTGAGAAGGCAAGGCCTGAGAATGCACGGGCTGAGAAGGCAAGGCCTGAGAATGCACGGGCTGAGAAGGCAAGGCCTGAGAATGCACGGGCTGAGAAGGCAAGGCCTGAGAATGCACGGGCTGAGAAGGCAAGGCCTGAGAATGCACGGGCTGAGAAGGCAAGGCCTGAGAATGCACGGGCTGAGAAGGCAAGGCCTGAGAATGCACGGGCTGAGAATGCAAGGCCTGAGAATGCACGGGCTGAGAATGCAAGGCCTGAGAATGCACGGGCTGAGAAGGCAAGGCCTGAGAATGCACGGGCTGAGAAGGCAAGGCCTGAGAATGCACGGGCTGAGAAGGCAAGGCCTGAGAATGCACGGGCTGAGAAGGCAAGGCCTGAGAATGCACGGGCTGAGAAGGCAAGGCCTGAGAATGCACGGGCTGAGAAGGCAAGGCCTGAGAATGCACGGGCTGAGAAGGCAAGGCCTGAGAATGCACGGGCTGAGAAGGCAAGGCCTGAGAATGCACGGGCTGAGAATGCAAGGCCTGAGAATGCACGGGCTGAGAATGCAAGGCCTGAGAATGCACGGGCTGAGAAGGCAAGGCCTGAGAATGCACGGGCTGAGAAGGCAAGGCCTGAGAATGCACGGGCTGAGAATGCAAGGCCTGAGAATGCACGGGCTGAGAATGCAAGGCCTGAGAATGCACGGGCTGAGAAGGCAAGGCCTGAGAATGCACGGGCTGAGAGGGCAAGGCCTGAGAATGCACGGGCTGAGAAGGCAAGGCCTGAGAATGCACGGGCTGAGAAGGCAAGGCCTGAGAATGCACGGGCTGAGAAGGCAAGGCCTGAGAATGCACGGGCTGAGAAGGCAAGGCCTGAGAATGCACGGGCTGAGAAGGCAAGGCCTGAGAATGCACGGGCTGAGAAGGCAAGGCCTGAGAATGCACGGGCTGAGAATGCACGGGATGAGAAGGCAAGGCCTGCGAAGGCAACTGATGGGAAGCTTGGGATTGGGAAATCAAGAGCTGCGAAGATAAGAGCGGGGAACGTGAGGGCTGCGAGGATACGGGCTGGGAAGGCATGTGCGGGGAAGGTAAGGCTGACGGTGACGACATGGCTTCGATTCCGTTTTGAAGGACGGAATTTGGACTATGGGGTAAGGTACCGTTTGGATTAGCAGGGTCGACCGATGCTGGATTAGGATCTTCGGTGGTCACATTGTGCGCGACATCCCCACCTTCGACATGGCCAAGATGGTTGCTCCCAGTATCAGCGCATGCATTGACCGTCTCATTCACTAGTGCAGAGGTTTTCCGTTTTGGCGGCGGGATCGGGCGCTGGACGGGTGCAGACCGAGATAGAGTTGTCAACGAGCGGAACCTATGTTCTGTTAACATATGATATACACGCAAAAGAATATGCAAGTGATGCGGAATGAAGACATGCTTGTCACTACTAACTGAAACTCAGGGTCGATGGTTCTGTGGGAAGCAAGCCAAACAGAAACAGGCTGACATAAGAATTAGGCGGCGCAGCTTGATGGGATAATGCGAGGATATAACAACGGTGTTGAAGTTGCAAAGAACCGTGCGCCCGGCATAACAAACGTAGGACTAACAAAGAGAGGTTTGTACAGCTACTATATGACTTCGCAAGTGTATCTCCCGCCATGCGTTTTGAGGTACACAAACCACCAGGCAATCTAGCACTAGAATATGCAATGTCGGCAGACCTGTCGTAGTAACACACGAACCTGGTGCTGTTCAATGCTCACCATCGTCGACGGGGGTGGGAGAAGAGGAGCCAACGTTAGGGTTTGACTTCCCCGACGCCTTCTTCCCGGACGCCTTCTTTCGCGACCCCTTCTTCCCCGGCGCCTCCAAGCCCGACGCCTCCAATCCCGACGCCTCCTTCCCTCCTTTTTTGCGTTTTTCACCACGCGTTCGTGGCGCACGAGCCGTTGGAGCGGTGTGGCTTGTTGGTCTATCTGCCGCAACATAATTCCCATCAGCGAAGGCAGCGACTACGGACATGGCTACGTTATCACCTGACTCACTACAGGTGACAAAGGCTCGGGAAAAGGGCGTGCAATGTGTCCTACGATGTATGTGCTCTGGAACAATGGAAGTGTTTTCGTTGGAAACACTGTGGCTACGCGCAATCGATGGTTGCCTGACGATCCAAAACGGTTGCCGTGGCTTGATGGTGACGACAACACAAAATTACGAAAGCTACAAACACACTAAGGAAAGTGGAGCAGAGATGTCTGTATACCCAGCTGAGGATGCAATGCAACGTGCAGCGAGGAAAAAATGGGTTTGTACGGGGAACAAGGTAGCTGCGCTAGGGGAGGGCGCACTGGAGTTGGGAAAAAAAGGGACGCACCAGATCTCACAATCGCTTCTTAACTACTGATCGACGACACAGATTGCCAGGAAAGCCACGGCAGAATGTGCGTCATCTCGTGCAAACCGCGAAACCGTTGGATAGTTATGCCAAACGTATTCTTACGGCTAAAACTTACGTGGTTGGGGCTGTTGATGATGTTGGGAGCACTGGACGTTTCAGATCCATCGACACTTCCTAATCGTACAAAATGATTGGCTGTAGAAGGTTTTCCACGTGCAGCACATTAGCCCAGCAGAAGGTGTCTCATCACGTGCAGCTCGCGTAGCCGATGATACCATACTGCCAGCCATAATCGTACGGCCAGCCCTTAGTCGAAAATATACCAGACATAGCGTGTTTCTCTACACAGAACGGCGCTCCTTAGCGATAATTTCAAACACTTACGCTTCTTCAAAATCAAACTTGTACCCTTTTGAAAATCAACATACTGTAGAAACCTCACTACCCGTCACCCCGCATACATCGTAGTACTCTGCTAGGCGGAAATTCCAATCCCGTGGACACCTAGTGATACTCGTATTGATCATGGTTTTTGCCATCGCACTCGATAAGCGGATCAGTCATTGCTTTCTTCAACAGTGCTCACATGGCAATGATGCTGGCGATGGTGGGGTCAGAATTGTGCATGTGGTATGCAGCCACCACGCTTGCTAAGAGGTCCGGGATGGATGTGCCCGTCATCAGCTGCATTATGGCTACAACAAACGAGCTTACTCCTGCAACGGTGGGATGGGATGGACAGGGTGAGGAGCATGTGCATCTAAACAATAGAGAAATATGCAATGAGACCTGCCACCGGTAGCATTGTGTCAACTGCCAAGTAGTGGAATGCCACGCATAAGAGGCAGGCTTGGTGCGTAAGATGCAAGCAATACCTCCACCATTACTTAGTGTGTGAGGTCCATGTACAACACCCTATTATGGGAGATAGATGTAGAACTTGCCATACCAACAAGACTAGATAAATTCTGTAACCATACGGTACACTGCACAGGCTTGGCCTACAGCGGTGAGTGGCATGACATATGTTTCCATTAACCCTAAATAGCGCAACCCAAGAGATGTCAGATTCACACATCAAGAGATTTTTGATGCACCTGCCCACAAACAGGAAGAAAGGGTATGAAATGACAAGAGGGTTCAGTGTAAGCGTGTGGGAGGACAAGGGGAAAGGAAGGTGACGACTAGAGGAAAGGGAGGAAAGGATTATGGGAGAAAACAGTGGGTGGACAAGAAAAAAGGGAGAGAAGAACAATGGGGAAAGGGAGTGAACGACAAAGGGGACAGAGAGTGATGCACAAGGGTGAAACATAGGGAAGGACAACGGGAGATAGAGGGACCGCCAATCATAAAGTAGGTAACGGACAAGAGTAGATGAGGAATGGGCAGTCAGGAAACGCAGGGTATGGCATAGGGGAGATGGAGGAATGTTCCATGGAGCCATGGGGTTGGAAGATGAGGAGCAGTTGGTTGGGAGATGAGGAGCAGTTGGTTGGGGGATGAGGAGCAGTTGGTTGGGGGATGAGGAGCAGTTGGTTGGGGGATGAGGAACAGTTGGTTGGGAGATGAGGAGCAGTTGGTTGGGAGATGAGGAGCAGTTGGTTGGGAGATGAGGAGCAGGGGAAAGAGGGAAGAGGGGAAAGGAGGGGAGGAAAGGCTCTGGCGAGGCGAGGGGACTTACGGCTTATCTGAGGTGCATGCCGTGCTAGTAGGTGACCTTACCCGTGGCTGTGAACGGCAGGGCAGCAGGCTCGGTGACAGGGTCGGCAAGAGGGTCGGTGAACGCCCTCAAACCTCCCCCTCTCACCCACCCGTCTCACCTCCCCCTCTCACCTCCCCCTCTCACCTCCCCCTCTCACCTCACCCTCTCACCCTTCCCTCTCACCTCCCACTCAGCTGGCCACAGGAGCTGTCGGCTTCTTCTGGCCGCCCAGCCCCAGTGCCCCGCCCACGGTGCGCCGCCCGGGAAGGGCTGGGAGGAGGCACTCGTTGAGGCGGCAGTGGCGAGCGACTTTTGAGTCAACTCAAAAGCTACCTCGTACCAGACCATACACAAGTGCATCCATACCTCAGCATGGTGGAGGGTGCACAGTTGATTGCAAGGGAAGGATCAGCTAATCACAAAAGGCGGGTGTGGTCCATGCACTCCATTTCAAGTGTGAGATATCCACGACTTGCTGTCAAAGGCAACAATCGTTTGCAGAGCTGCACTAGCAGGGCATGTGTTTCTTGATGCAGGCATGTGCATATGAGATTGCATGCACAAACATGCAAACACTGACGCACGGCGGATGCAAATACAGGTATGTGCCACAAAGGCTGCACATGTGCATCTAAACAAGCAACTTATGGTAGGGAGAATAATCACACAGGTTTCATGGCAAATGACATACATGTAACCGCCCTTGGAAGACGCGTCAGCGATCACAGCTCCCGTCACTCACCTCAGCCAGCCTGGCCTCGAATGAAATTGCAGCGGAGGAGGATGAGGACAAGTAGGAACGTGATGACGACGATGGCGATGATGAGGAAAGGGTCACGGGGAAGGTGGGGCACGTACTGACGTTTGACCCCAAGCAACCAGTGGAGAGGCATGCAAGAGAGAGCCTAAAGAGAAAAGACAAGCAGCACTGTTACTGGAGAGGAATTCAGAAGAGTGTAAAGAGAAGGAGCGGGAGTGAAATGGAGAGAGAAGCAGCGTACGCACCAGTGGCACAGCGAGCAGACTTCACTGATGAGGCAATCGCCTTTGACCTGCCCACGTGGGAGGGTCATGCAAGGGGGCGCAATGAGGCGCGGCAGTGGGCAAGTCAAGGAGGGGAGGAGTGCGTGGTTGGGAGAGTGAGTGAGTGTGAGCGAGAATGTGTATCTGTGTGTGTCCTTTGCACTCCCCCTCGCTGCCCTTGCCCCACTCACACCTGTGTGCCCAGCTCACCCCTGTGTGCCCAACTCACCCCTGTGTGCCCAACTCACCCCTTGCCCTTCACGAGAGTGTCCACGGCCGTTCCTTTGCAGTCCGGTGCAGCAAAGAACTGAATCTCCTTGCATGCTGCCTTCCCCGCCTGCTGCCATGCCACCTGCACCTTCTTCTTCCCGCGCCCCGCCCCGCCCCGAATGGCGACACAGCGGGAGGAGGTGAAGGCAAAGGAGCGCCCCTGCACCTTCATCCTCGTACCCACCACCGCCACTCGGGTGCCACGAGTGCTGCCTTTGCCACGGGTGTTGCCTTTGCCAGGGGTGCTGACATTGCCACGGGTATTGCCTTTGCCACGGGTATTGCCTTTGCCACGGGTGCTGCCTTTGCCACGGGTGCTGCCTTTGCCTGGGGTGTTGCCTTTGCCACGGGTGTTGCCTTTGCCTGGAGTGCCTCCTTTGCCACGGGTGTTGCCTTTGCCTGGGGTGCCTCCTTTGCCACGGGTGTTGCCTTTGCCTGGGATGCTGCCTTTGCCATCGGTGCTGTCTTCGCCGACGGTGTTCTCCTCACCAGGGGTGTTATCTTCGCCAGGGGTGCTGTCTTTGTCAGGGGTGTTGCCTCCCTTGTTCCCCGCCTCCTTCGCAGCCTCCCCGCCCGCCTCCTTCACTGCCTCGCCGCCCACCTCCTTCACTGCCTTGCCGCCCGCCTCCTTCACTGACTCGCTGCCCGCCTCCTTCACTGCCTCGCCGCCCGCCTCCTTCACTGCCTCGCCGCCCGCCTCCTTCACTGCCTCGCCGCCCGCCTCCTTCACTGAATCGCCGTCCGCCTCCTTCGCAGCCTCCCCGCCCGCCTCCTTCACTGCCTCGCCGCCCGCCTCCTTCACTGCCTCGCCGCCCGCCTCCTTCACTGCCTCGCCGCCCGCCTCCTTCACTGCCTCGCCGCCCGCCTCCTTCACTGCCTCGCCGCCCGCCTCCTTCACTGCCTCGCCGCCCGCCTCCTTCACTGCCTCGCCGCCCGCCTCCTTCACTGCCTCACCGCCCGTCTCCTTCACTGCCTCGCCGCCCGCCTCCTTCACTGCCTCGCCGCCCGCCTCCTTCACTGCCTCGCCGCCCGCCTCCTTCACTGCCTCGCCGCCCGCCTCCTTCACTGCCTCGCCGCCCGCCTCCTTCACTGCCTCGCCGCCCGCCTCCTTCACTGCCTCACCGCCCGCCTCCTTAACTGCCTCGCCGCCCGCCTCCTTCACTGCCTCGCCGCCCGCCTCCTTAACTGCCTCGCCGCCCGCCTCCTTCACTGCCTCGCCGCCCGCCTCCTTCACTGCCTCGCCGCCCGCCTCCGTTGCTTTCTCAGATATGATATTGCTGGCCGCGTGTGCTGCCTGCTTGTTGCTGTCAGGCAAGACATTGCTGGCCGCTTCTGTTGCTTCGTTGGTGCTCGTGTTGGCTAATGGATCGCTGCCCATGACTAGGTGAGCTGCGAGGGGGGTACAGAAGAGGAACAAAAGAAAAGAGGGTGCGCTTGTTTGCACTTTTGAGAGTGTGCGAGCAGGGGTCTCTGGGTGTGAACTGACTGCCATGTGCTGAAAGCATCAAAGGTGTGGTACTCGCCGCACAAAGACGCATCGCACGGGGGCGGGCGCATGGCGCGTTGACGAAGCATGGAAGGAAAAGAGCCTCTTTTTCTCAGAACAGGAGGGGCAGAAGGCGTGTTGAGAACACGCGTGGGATGAGAAAAGCAGGAGGCGCAGGGGCAAGGCGTACCGGTGAAGAGCGCGACGAGGAAGACGCGAATCACGACCGTCGCACTCCCCATATTCCGCATCCTCTGTGGAGTCCCCATCAGCCGCGCAGCATGCACGTACGATCACGGAGAGCGAGGGGAGAGGGCAGTGGAGTGACGTGCTACAAGCGCGCTGACGGTGGGAGAGCGAAAGGAGAGGAGCTTCGTTTGGAAGCTCGGCTTCAAAGCTTCGCCGTTTGAAGGGGAGCGGCTGCGATGGACTCTGCTGCTCATCGCTGCTGCTCTCGTCTCCGTTTATACCTGATCGCCTCTCCAACCTCGCCTCACCCATCACTCGCATCGCGTCACACCCTCCGAACCTCTTGTGGTGCATGGGAAATATCCGAGCCTGAACCTCCGCGGTCAAGCAGCGTGAGGAACGCTGCGACGAGGCACGCTGCGACGAGGCTTAGTGGAATGGCAGAGGCGATGAGGTGAGTAGCCTTCTCTGCTGCACGCAAGTGTCGCCAGTCTAGCGACGAGGTACTACTAAAATGGAAATGCTCCAATTCGAAAACTCTCCCGTTTCGCTCTTCAGCTCACAGCCGCCAGCGCACTTCTACTGCCACGGCACACCCCCACCTCCCCTTCTCCCGCACCCACCTTCCCCAGCGCGACCCGATTCCGACCCGCTCCGGCCTGACGCGGCGCTGCAGCGGGCATCTCTGGGTGGCGACGCGGTAACCGCATCACCGCCCAGTGCGCCCAGAGCGCCGCCCGCGTAACAGCCCCTCACCGCCATCGTCGCTATGGGAGGATGGAGGACGAGAGAGCGGGAAACTTTTCGCTCAGCTGCCTCATGACAGTAACTCCGAAAAATGGAAATCGCTTAATACAACTGCTCGTCTCAGCGTGGGCGATGGAAGGTACGGTATGAGTGAAGACCCGTGTGCGCGGGAAACAGATGGATGGGGAATTGAAAGGTACAGAAACACTGATTGGACAGGATGGGAGAAGAACGCCGCGGGTACTAACATAGCGCTGCTTGCGAGAGGCGAAATGGCGTCAATGAACACGCGCTCATAAAGATATCGGGGGTGTCAGCGATAAATCTATGGGTGTTTGCCCTGCGTAGCTTTGAATCGCCGAAGTCGAAATCTAGCTTGTACTAGCGAGTGAATTCTCAGTGTGAGCTTAGTCTCAAAAACCAGATTCAGATTCAGTTTGGACTAGCGAGCCCATCCTGAGTTGAGTGGAACTTTGAGAGTTTGTGAGCTTTGTTCGCCACGTCATGCTGTGCGACACTTTTCGCCGGTCGGCTTCCCAAATCCAACCCACTCGTTTTTTAATTTCCAGTGTGAATCGGGTAACATTCCAGGCTATCGAAAAAGTTTACTACTGGAGCGGCGAACTTTGTTCCGCGACTAGAGCTCATAGATACGGTTCCCCCGTTCCCAGATCTGGCTCTGAGGTATCACCCGCTACCAGATCTTCCCAGTCTTGACTCTTACAGCAATCTCTCACACCGTTGGTGTCACCGTGGGCGATATTCTGAGGCAGCTGTTGCAACTGGGGGTCGCGGCTAATGAGCATGGGAGCACAACTAGATCCATGGAATTATTGACGAGAGGACGGGCTTAAGATCTGGAAAACAATGAGATCTTAAGGCATTTAATACGCGGATAGGGCGACAGGAGGCATATGCAGGCGGCGCCGAGATCGATATCGTAAAGTGCATTCAGTGGAGGGAATCAGCAGGATACCGCGGCGGAAGTGAGGTGCATCTGTAGGAGCGAACGGGTAAATCTTGACGGCGGAACTGAGGCGCACCGGGGGGAGGAAGGAGGCGGGATCCCGCGGGGTAACTGAGGCGCGCTGGGGGAGGAAGGATGCGGGATCCCGCGGGGTAACTGAGGCGCGCCGGGGGAGGAATGAGGCGGGATCCCGCGGGGTAACTGAGGCGCCCCGGGGGAGGAAGGAGGCGGGATTCCGCGGGGTAACTGAGGCGCGCGCCGGGGGAGGAAGGAGGCGGGATCCCGCGGGGCAATATTTGCTGATGGCTGAAGTGAGGCGCATCGGGGGGAGGAGAGGAGCGGGATCCGACGGCTGAAGTGAGACGCATCGGGGGGAGGAGAGGAGCGGGATTCGAAGTATCCTTGCACAATGTAAGGTGGCGGGGCGAGGCACGGTCTGTGGGAGTGAGTGCTGGTGTGGAGTGGTTTGTGGGAGGGGGAATGTGGGTGAATTGGGGTCGTGTATGGGGTTGGATATCGTGCTTGAGGGGGGTGTTTGCAGCACCATCCAAGCCCTTCGTGCCTTTCTTCTTCACCAGACCCCCTAATTTCCCGTCCCAACTCGGGGTCCATCGTAACATGCACTGATATTCCTATCCCTTTCAATTTCCTTTACTCATCCTGTTTTATGTGCTCCTGCGTACTCCTTCCTAATCCTCCTCCCCCCTCCCCTTCCGATTCCTTCGCCTCTCACTCTCTCACCACCCTCCTCCCGTGCCCTTTTCATTTATACCTATCAGGGCCTTAACCGTTCTAAACTTGCTGGTGAGGGCAAGAACCGGGTGGGAGAAGGCGAGAGGGAGCGGGAAGGGAAGGGGAGAGAGGAACAGGGATAGTGGGTCATTAAGAGAGTGGAACACGTCCGATAGAGGGGGCTGCTGATGATAACTGGGGGAAAGGGGAGGTTGGGAAGGGTGGAAATTAGAACAGATGCATAAGAGGGGTGGAACTCTGATGTTGATAATTTGTTTATTTAAACTGCACATCACGCGCTATGCATTCCACTTCTCCAATTCTACACTACGCCACTCCTCCAGTGCCACCATTCCCCCATCCATTCCTCGAGTTCCCAATTCCCCCAGTCCCATACTCCCCAATACCCCGACTATCCCATTACCCCCATTACCCCATTTTTTTACTCTTTATGGCCCCATTGCTTCGTCCCCCCCACCGTTCTCTCATTTCCCCAATTACCCAATCCCCAAGTGCTACGTACCCTCATTACGTCGTGCCCCCGCTTCCCCAATCCCCCATTGCTTCATTTCCCTATTCCCTCAACCCAGCGTGCGACTGCCAGCTGATCAACCTAAGTGGATCGGCAGATTGAGACTGTGGGAGGGTGGCATATCGGACGTGGAGTTGGTAGTCGGTCGCGTTTAGGTGAGTGGTCTTAGCCCTTGCCGCACAACATCTGCGTCAGATTTTCTGGAGCTTACCTATTCCGTAGTGGTACATGTTTCTCCTGTACTTTGTTTGCAGAAACCTGTCGGATATGGATTTCTATGCCTGCAGGTTTTGTAGGCTTCGCTTCAGTAGTGTAAACGCTGTATCCAATCACGAAAGAACTCACGACGATGATCCACTTCCAGAATATCGTAGGAGCCCTAGTATCCTAGTTCCAACATATTCAGGTGTAGATTGGAGCACCCTACCCAGCCCCGACGATCCAGTAGATGTGTCCATACACGAGACTGTTGAAAGCGGGCTGGAGGATGGGCTGCCAGATGCAGAATTCTTCCCCGCCGCAGCTTTCTTTGCTGACAATGAGGAAGAAGAAGCAACTTTTGATACCCGTTTTGAGGTGTTTAGATTCATTGCGCACTGCAACCGTGGGGCTGGGCTTAGTGCACCTGATGTTGTAGAGTTTTTCCGCCTACTCAACCACCCTAAGTTTGATAGGCAAGCAATAGCTGACTGGGCTGGGAAGGCGGCCGTTGACAAATTCGCCGAGGAAGAGCTCGGGATTGAGAAGATTAAGTTCAAAACGGCTGTGATCAGGGTGGCGGGATGGCCTAAGTCTTTCACCGTCAAGTTCCTTGATGGGGTTGAGGTAAGTTGACAGTTCTTCTAAACCATGTCTCCTCCGTCATAGGAAGATCACTATCATACCTTCGCTAACACGCAGGCATTGAGGCGCATGTGGGCGGATCCTCGAAACGCCCCTGGGTTTGTACATCGTGCGGCAGAGAAGCTGGATGTCAACAACAAGAGAGTGTACGCTGAGGCTCACACGGCATCATTCTGGATTGATGCTCAGGTATGCATCTTGCATGCCGATATATCGGTTAACATGCCCATAACTTGTACGATCAGGCTATAGCATGGAACTGCCCATGGTTACGTGGCATCTCAGCAACTACGTTAGCGCGCTGCCTAAATTTCATCCCTGGTTGCATTTCCAAAGCGCACTTACAACATATAGTGCTAGTGTTGTCAATGGTGTGTGGCCCACTACGCCATCACACTTCAATGTACTTGGCAATCAGTGTGATAATCTTGAAATGTGTTTGGCAGGATGGGCTTGGTCCGCGGGAGTGCATCTGTCCACTCATTCTCTCAAGTGATGAGACTCATTTGAGTGGTAATGAGAGGTGCAGAGCCTGGCCTGTATACTTGTCCTTTGCCAATCTACCACTTAGCACCAGGTGGCAGGAACATGGTCATGCCCTGATTGCTCTCCTACCGTTGCCGGATCCTGAAATGGAGCCAAGTCAAAAGACAGAGCTCTTCCAGAAATGCTGCGAAGTTGTGCTCAAGTCTCTTGACGCAGCATGCAAAGAGTAAGTTGTTGCTCTATTCTTGGTAACTCCGATACTTCGAACAGCTAGTAACAGGATGTGAAAGCCGTGTTGCATACACCATCTTGATCCATTTAACCCTTTCCATTGTAGATCGATTCCTCTACTTGATCCAACCGGTGAGGCGTACACCGTGTGGCCCAAGATGTTCGTGTATGTGGCGGACTATCCTGAAACGTGCAAAGTCACTTGCACGTTGCAACACGCATCAGCTCGTCCATGCTCCATATGCAAGATCACCATTAGGGACCTTGACAACATGTTAGTGGGTGCTCCGGCACGCAACGTGGAGGATCAACAACGATACTCTAGAGATGAGACCCTTGCAAAGGAGTATTCCACCCACATGACTAAGGTATGAGATTGTGTAAACAACACAGCTCGTATGCATGGTTGACTGTTGACATACACTTACATTTACTGCTGAGTCCACAAACCCTCTGGTATTTGTCAGTGCTTCTTGTGGCACTTCGGGCGTGAAGAGGACCGAGCCAAACCCTGGGGAAACCCTTTCAACACCATCATGCCCGACATCCTTCATGTCATTCTCATTGGGATTTGGCTTTACGTGTTGGAGTGTTTACTACGCAAGAACAAGCACCACAAGACCATGAACTTGTACGTCTCAATTGGTTTTAGGATATGCCTCCGGTTGTTGGAGTTCCCATCACCTCGATGACCATGCTTAAAGAAATCTGATATGCTATGCTTCTCCAGGCGGCATGGGGAAGAGTACAGGAGGACCTTGTTGGCAGGTCTAAAAATCCCGCCACCTGGCCATTATTTCAGTTCTGGAGCTAACTACTCTGCCGCAGAGCACGCCGCCATGATGAGGGTTGGTACCATAAGCATCTGCTCTGCACTATGGCCAATATATCTCTGAGTTGCTGCGCTTTTATATCTCTGGCGTTTGGTCCCAGATAATATTGCCATTACCCCTCGTTGACTTGACAAAAGGGCCTGTGTGTCACATTGTAGGTCACGCTGTTCATCATGGAGGGCTTGATTACAGACGCAGCTTTTTATGTGCTACGTTATTTCGTAGCATGGTTCGACAAATACTTCCGTGCCAAAGAGTATACCGAGAAGGACCTTGATGACTATCTGATCGACACTGAAGAGTAAGGCTTCTGACACGGGTTTCATTTTATACATTGTTTTGCATCGCCCAGTTCCAAGTGCCTGGTCTATTCTAATCCTCAACCCTCCCATACACCCTATCCAGACTTGTGCGCCTGCTGAAAACACAATTCCCCCGAAAGGGCCGTGGGTGGAAGCTTGTCAAAATCCACCTTCTCTCTCATTTCCCCGATGCAATTCGGCGAGGTGGTGCACCTGGAGAATACAGCACCAGCCTGTATGAACATGCGCATACCACATCTTGCAAGCAACCGTTTAGAGCATCTAACTATCGGCAGTATGATGAAGCTATCCTGCGCAGTGCTCGTATGCGGGAGGCACTCCGCAACATGCCCTCTGCCATTGAGGGACCGCGATCCTATGAAACTGCACTTGTGCAGGTACGCATGTTCGATTTTGGGAACAAACATGCTGAGCCGAGTATATGAGAAGTGAATTTGGGGTGCATTCTGTTAGCATGCTGCTGATGGGTAAATTTTGCTTACATGCTAGCATATAGATACAATTTTGATAGCACTCCTGCCATATGGTGAATTCTGTTAGCATGTGGCCATATGTTGAATTCCGTTAGCATGCTACTATAAAATGAATGTTGATGGCATGCAGATATGGGGTGAAGGTTGTTAGCATAACCCTATGGGGCGAATTTTGTTTGCGTGCTGCTATGGGGTGAATTCAGTTTGCGTGCTGCTATGGGGTGAATTCACTTTACTTGCTGCTATGTGGTGAATTCCATTAGCATGCTGCTATGGGGTGAATGTTGGTGGCATGCTGCTATGGGGTGATTTGAGTTTGCATGCTGCTATGGGGTGATTGGAGTTTGCATGCTGCTATGGGGTGATTGGAGTTTGCATGCTGCTATGGGGTGATTTGAATTTGCATGCTGCTATGGGGTGATTTGAGTTTGCATGCTGCTATGGGGTGATTGGAGTTTGCATGCTGCTATGGGGTGATTGGAGTTTGCATGCTGCTATGGGGTGATTTGAGTTTGAATGCTGCTTTGGGGTGATTTGAATTTGCATGCTGCTATGGGGTGAATTCAATTTGCGTGCTGCTATGGGGTGTATTCAATTTGCTTGCTGCTATGTGGTGAATTCAATTTGCGTGCTGCTATGGGGTGAATTCAGTTTGCGTGCTGCTATGGGGTGAATTCAATTTGCTTGCTGCTATGTGGTGAATTCCATTAGCATGCTGCTATGGGGTGAATGTTGGTGGCATGCTGCTATGGGGTGATTGGAGTTTGCATGCTGCTATGGGGTGATTTGAATTTGCATGCTGCTATGGGGTGATTGGAGTTTGCATGCTGCTATGGGGTGATTGGAGTTTGCATGCTGCTATGGGGTGATTTGAGTTTGCATGCTGCTATGGGGTGATTTGAATTTGCATGCTGCTATGGGGTGATTTGAGTTTGCATGCTGCTATGGGGTGATTTGAATTTGCATGCTGCTATGGGGTGATTTGAGTTTGCATGCTGCTATGGGGTGATTTGAGTTTGCATGCTGCTATGGGGTGATTTGAGTTTGCATGCTGGTATGGGGTGATTTGAGTTTGCATGCTGCTATGGGGTGATTTGAGTTTGCATGCTGCTATGGGGTGATTTGAATTTGCATGCTGCTATGGGGTGATTTGAGTTTGCATGCTGCTATGGGGTGATTTGAGTTTGCATGCGGCTATGGGGTGATTTGAGTTTGCATGCTGCTATGGGGTGATTTGAATTTGCATGCTGCTATGGGGTGAATGTTGATGGCATGCTGCTATGAGGTGAATTTTGGTTGCGTGCTGCTATGGGTTAAATTCAGCTTACTTGCTGCTATTGTGTGAATTCTGTTCGCATGGTGCTATGGGCTGAATGTTGTTTACATGCTGCTATGGATTGAATGTTGTGAGGATGCTGCTATGGGTTGAATATTGCTAGCATAGCATGGTGATACGGGTTGAGTTTTGGTAGGATGCTGCTATGGCAGCATGGTGCTATAGGATTAATCCCTCTCTCTCTCTCTCTCTCTCTCTCTGTCTCTCTCTCTCTCTCTCTCTCTCTCTCTCTCTCTCTGTCTCTCTCTCTCTCTCTCTCGCTCTCTCTCTCTCTCTCTCTCTCTCTCTCTCTCTCTCTATCTCTCTCTCTCTCTCCCCATCTCTCTCTCGACTCCCATGTGGACACAACAGGCTGATAGAGTTCGCGCCCCTGTGATGAGTGCGAGCCATAAGATCATTGAGGCACCATTTGGTCTTCCTGGCAAGCGAGGACATGAGCTATGGCAGAGCTATGTCGCGTGCCATCCCGAAGGGATGGCGAGGTTTCAGCAAATTCTGGCTGAAGCTGGTCATTCCGTTCAAGACCTGCATGTAAGCCAAAACATCTGATTGTGTGCTGGTTGTCTACGTTACTCATCTCCAATTCCTTCAGCCCTCACAAATGCTGGTCAATTTGTGTATTACGTGTGCCGGTAAGGACAAAAGCCGATAATTGTAGCTAATTGTAGCGCAATCATGTGGTACATGTTCCCCCTCCTAAACAGGTACATACTGCAGTGGCGTTGCCATCCACGCCCGAGAGAGAGTGCCACTATGCACGGGCAAATCCAAGCTTCCATGGCATGCCTGCATTTTCACATGCAGCGATGCTGGGGAATACTATTGGTACAGATGGAAGTCGGACCCGTGTGCTATGGTATGTGAAGGTGCTACTGTTTTTTCACTTGAAGGGGGGGCAATCCAGCGCTGGGGCGAATGGCTTGGCATATGTGCAATTCTATGATCCGAATGGTTGCGACGACAAAACTTGCTGCGAATCGCTCGTCGATGCTCCACTCACCCAACGGTACTATGTGGTGGACGTCCGATCTCTCGTGCGAACGATTCATGTCGTGCAATCGTACCATCGGCGGTGGCTTTACTATCTTAACCATTTTGTGACCAAATAATTATGCGACTATGATTTACAGGCACATGAACCATGGCGCTGTATTATGTAGATGCGCCGACGAACCATACATGATATTGTAGAATGTTGTGAGAAACTTTTATTGACAGCACAATTGCAAAACTAAAAACTTTGTCTATTTAAAAAATGCTGTCAGATTATGATGCAATTGTTACATATCACCTCTCCATCTTGAGCTGCATTTGTATATACTTGTTTAGTTGAACGAAGTGTTTTACCTACCTCACTTTCCAGAACAGCTTAGTGAAATACTCCAATGCACAAATCGAATTCTGTTTTTAACGCATTTCCATGCAAAAATCGCATCCCTGTGGGAGATAAACAGTATCCAGCCAATTCACGAACTGACGTAAATGGTCGCAGAGCAAATGCGACGCGCGCGCCCAGGAACACTGCAAGCAGATTGGCGCCAAGCCTGAACCTGAGGTACCCCAAACCAGAAACGAAGCAGGGTTCCAAATGAAGGTTTGGTTTAACTCATATTGGAACCGCGTCTAGCACAATTGCCTGGCGAAAGTTACTTCAGTGAAGTAACAAAAAAAAAGTAACTTTTTCGAAGGCATCAAATTTGGGATGTCCTCACTAATTGTTGTCTTGCACCTCCCCCCGTTGCAACCTAAACCCTTTCCACGTGGTGTGGCAGCAGTGGTGGCTCAAACTGCCTCCCCACCTCCTCCTCCGGGTGTTTCCTCCCCACCGCCTCCTCCGGGTGTTTCCTCCACACCGCCTCCTCCGGGTTTTTCCTCCCCACCGCCTCCTCCGGGTGTTTCTTCCCCACCGCCTCCTCCGGGTGTTTCCTCCCCACCTCCTCCTCTGGGTGTTTCCTCCACACCTCCTCCTCCTGGTATTTCCACCGCACCTCCTCCGCCAGGTGTTTCCGCCGCACCTCCTCCGCCAGGTGTTTCCGCCGCACCTCCTCCTCCGGGTGTTTCCGCAGCACCTCCTCCTCCGGCTGTAGCCTCCCCACCTCCCCCTCCTGCCCCTGCCACTTCATCGCCCCCACCTCCCCCTCCTTCCCCTCCTCCCCCTTCTCCACCTCCCCCCTCTCCCCCTCCTCCCTCGCCTCCTCCTCCCTCTCCTCCCCCTCCCTCTCCTCCTCCTCCCTCTACCACCCCTCCTTCCTCTCCGCCCGCTTCTCTCCCTCCTCCCCCTCCCGCCCCTGCCGCAACATCGCCCCCACCTCCTGACTGCATCCCCAAACGCCGCCCTTGCCCCTGGATATGTGACAATAACGGGGTGAACCAGCCGTACCGGTTCAATAAAGTGTGTGAGGATGACGAGGTGTGCATTCCCTACGTCAGCAGCTGCGAAGGTTACAAGTGCCTGAAGCTGTTTAACAAAGGGCGCCGGTGAGCGCTTGACGTATCCTTAGGATAAAGGTTTTGAAGATGAGTTGTGCCGCTCTTTAAGGCGCCTCAAAGATGAGTTGTGCAGAGCAGCAGGCAAGTGGGTTGCTGGTGCACCAAGGATCTCCCTCAAGGGCATTAGTGAATTCACCAGGTTCATGAGAGAAATTGGTGTGAAAAGGACAACAGGGCGTGCACAGGGGTAGAAGCACAAGTGCGGTGTTGCTTTAGTGCAAGGGTAGAGCACCGCAAGTTGTTTTTTCTTTCTTCTCTTACGGTTCAGCAGAGTTTGCCCATGCTTCGTTTTGTTTTCTTCTGAAGTTCCATGTTTTGCTAGTAGCTGCACTGTACATGAGAAGAATCTATTCTCTGACCCTTTGAAACTTAACTCGAGTTTCACTTTCCACCAAAGAGAGTGTGACTTGTCAAACTATAATGCCTCTTATGTTGTGTAGGCTGTAGTGGGGTAGCCTATATGGGGTACAACCCAATTAGGGTTATACTTGTACACAGTTTGATGTCAATGCAATCATTCCTGCTCGTTAGTTTCTGACATGGTTTCATAGCAGTAGGTCCGTAGGACCTTTTTTTGGGTTGCGAAGCAACCTATTACGATCGTTATGTACAATTTTTTTTTCAATCCTCCATACTTCAAAAAATAAAGGATGGAAAAAATATAGTGAACGGTACTAGCTAAGTGACTGACTGTTATGTATTTGCCGCGTTAATTTACCACGTGCTGAACCACATTCCTTCTCATTTCCTAGTTTGTTTTGACTGAACCTATATTTCATGAGTTGCCAAAATGATGTACTGTGAACGCGTAACTGTTTATTTCGTGATGCATATGTCTGATGCTGTTATGCGTGAAGTAAATGCAAATGCATAAGTATAATGCATATACTACCGGTAGTGAAATTAATGCATAGCATGATGGAAATGCGTAACAGTTAATTGACGCAGACCCTATGCTACCGCGTCCCCTGCCTAGCATGGGGGGGAGCTCAATAGCATAGTTTCTGAATCATCCAACTGTTACATGAAACAACACAATCTGTGTGATCTAAAAAAAGGGTCAATTCTATCATATCCAGTTCGAATGGACACACTCACTGAGTGCGCAAAGAACCTTCTCGGAAATGATAGTTTGATCCCAATTTTTAAAACCCACAGACATGTGTTATTTATGCAATGAAAACATGAATGAAAACGCATACACACACAACACAACGCATACCCACACAATTTAAAAAGACATTTAGCATACTAATACCTTTCATCTGTCTCACACTCGTTGTTCTCACTCTCGCGTAAGTTTGTACTCGTTTTCATGGTCTGTTCAAATGTCTAATAATTAACCCATTAACTCTTTAAACTCCTCTGAGCATCTTCCCCGCTGTTCCAAATCGCTCACAGCTTCACCATCGCTGCACAAAAAAGAGGGGGCAATTTCCAAGTGTAAGAAAAAATTGATATACGTCAATCAAATTACTACTACAATGAGCACATGTAAATAACCACAATAAGAAGGGTGCTCACGTCCTGTCTCTTTTTGGCGGGTGTTGACGAAATCGGTGTGCTCGATGTGTCAAAGTTCGTCGGAGCGTCGCTCGCCTGCGTGATCGTCCAGATCTCCAAGATGGTCTTGCTCACGCCTGCTCCTTCAGGACGAAAGTGGACCTTCAATAACAATGAACAGTACATGTAGAATAATTTGAGTTAGAGAGCTATCAGTAACCACCAAAAATGCATATTGATGTGCACATTTAATAAGTATACAAAAATCTTAGTAAATGTTAAAAACTAACAACTAAATTCACATACCTTCACATGCCAATGGCCTCGAAGCGTGTCCAACACGCTTTGCCGCTCGCCCATTGTCATGGAGTGGAAATCCGAAACCTGAAAACTTGGGAACAGTCGTCCCAAAAGTTCCGGCTGAATCTCCAAACCCTTCGCCTGCGTCGTGAACGAATCTGAAAATGAAACATAAGAGAACTTAGTCAATGTACAGTACCTAAATTTTGTGGAAAATATAGCAAGCGCCACAATGAAAATGCTAGACATGATGCTTACCACTCTCGTGAACAACAAGAGTTGCTGTCACGTTATCGAACGCGCGGACTGATGTCGCTCTGTGGACGCGACATCTGTGAACCTCCGAAGCCGCGGAGGTGAAAACAGGCATTCCACAAATGGAATCTCCTACTCCAGCAGCGCAGACAACTCGACTACTGTGCACTGGGTCTCTGAGGTCTGCTGCAAGTGTTGCTATCTTCTCTTCGTTTGTTACCATCACCAATGTGTCCACATGGGACATCCTGATCATTCAAACAAAAAAAAAGGCTATTGAATATCATGTTTGCTAGTAACGGCTTACTTGCGCAAATTTAGATAACTTACAAGCTCACAAGACCGACGTCTTGTAGCTCGGTGACTGGTGCATCCGTTGTGACGGATGGTGGAACAGGATCGAGAATGACAATGTCCGAAGGCACAGTCGTCGTGAAAACAGCAGACTTGAGATACACGTTGCTGACGAAGGCAGGAACATCGCTAGCATCCGGGTGATCAGCAAAATATCTCTCACAGCTGGAGTTGAACCTGATGGCGACATCCCCGAGCGCTATCAAAACGCTCTTCATCGTTGAGTCATGGATGCCAGGTGTGAACTTTGGAAGCGCGCGGTTTGACTCGAAAGACGAGATCTTGAGCCTGACAGAAATGCAAGGGATCTGGAAATAAAGGAGGTGAATGGTACAACTGAAGTGAAAACATAGAATACATGCAGAGAGACATACCATGATTGTTAATTACAATGTATGGCATGAATGATTTGAGATAGAACGAAAGACAGAAATGTGTATCACAAATTACAAAAGTAGGTGACAATTACAATACAACAATCACATGAAGAAAGATGTAACAAACATCGTCGCAATTCTTACCCTAGACTTATCCTCGCCCCCGTAGAAGCTCAAAAGCGTGGGAGTGGGCAAGTTTCCCACGTTCAGCCGAGGAGGCCCGCTGACCTCGATTAGGTGTGAGCACCGATGCGTCCAGTTGAGTTGCGTGCGAAGCCCTCCAACCAGAATCCTGTACGTATTCAGTGCATAGATTGTAAAACTAAAACGTGTAGAATCACATAGACAAGTCCAAACAAAACTTACCAAGTGGGGGGTGCGCAAGCACCGACGGTGCGATGGACTTCATAGACTTTCCCGATGGAAAGCCTCATCAAAAATTCATTCATAGCTTCCACATCACATCGACCAGGCCCCCTGGATTGTGGCCACATCACCACCTCTGCCACAGTGAGATCCTCATCAACGACGTAAATCTTTCCGGGTAGAAATTTCGCAACATTCTTCCCGAAACCATTCTTCTTGCCTATCACCATGACTTTCACATGAAAATCGACTCGGGGACGTCCTGCTTGAACCTTAGCATCAACCCATTTGAGTTTAACCTCTACAGATTCCTGCATATGAAACAAGTTTAACAAGTGAGAATAGCACTAACGAGATATAAAACCACGATAACCACAATGATAACACAGTATATATAACGTATAAAGAAACTCACCTCCCCTGAGTCGTGCGGAAATGGCAGAGGATCTGTCGTAAGCACATGTATATAACAAAACAATACGTGTATTGAAAATGTTGAGCACAATGTACAGTATGATGCGAAAGAATAAACCGATGATCAATCATTGATGCATGCATGTAACATGTAAGATGATGAATATGATGTATGATCTGATACAGATGATATATCGCCATGATGTTATTCAACAACAGCGTACACAGGAAAATGATCAGAAAAATATGTTTCACCAACATATACTTTTAGACGTGTTTTGAAACAATTGCTCCAAATATGATCGATAAGTGTAGCATTCACCGTCGTAGGATCAACAATGAATTGCGTAAAACCATGGAGTTCAAAAAAACACCGATATTTGGGATGCGTACCAGCATTCATATCGACATTGAAATCGCCCAAAAAAATCATGTTACGATTTGTATGCTTAGCGATGATCGATGTGATCATATCAAAAAGAACGTTATGATTACGTTGATTGGTTGGATTACGATAGCAACCCGTAATAACTACATCTTCATCATTGACGTTGATGATAAATGTTAATAATTCGACTTTTGAATTTTCTACATACTGTACGTTTCTGATTGGAATATGATGATATAAAACAATCCCCCCAGATGGGCAATCAAAACGAACAATATTAAATATGTCGTTTGTCAAATTTGGTAACTGATCATTTTCGCCCAAGTGTGTCTCGAATAGAATCATAAAATCAAATCCACCAAGATTGTTGATATTAACATCTCTGTAATGTCCTCGAAAACTTCTTACATTTTGAAATGCGAACTTAATCAATGATGATTGTTGAATGATCTCACCAATCGGTATTGGATCCAAAATAAGGGGTCTCTTACGTAGACGGCACATTTCCGCTACTACACGAGAATCGGTTTTAATGCATGCTTCTGAAAAGCTTCGAAGGAACAATCGAGAAGGACTGCGAAATCGACTCAAAGCAACATATGCTCCTTGAGGAAAAACTTTGGATTCAAAATGTATGACTCCACTTTCAAAAGTAGCACCTTGGCTTCGGTGAAAGCTTATCGCATTACTTGGTCGTAATGGAAACTGCATTCGAGAAATCATGTCATAGCGAGAATTTACCGAGAATGTCTTCTCTATTCGTTGAATAGGCGTCCAAGATGGTTTTACCCCCAGAGTCTTAGAAAACAACGGTCGAGATTTTCTACGCATATTACTGCCAACAGCTTCATCATCAAATTGGACCCATA